CAACACAATTATTCACTAATATAGTCTATTTTTCCACTTAGAAGCTTCTTTTATGCAGTGAATTTCTTGACAAATAAATAAAATTAATGGTTAAATTCACTTTAGAGTCGATATTTTTATGTGAGGATCGATCCTTTCGATACAACATCAGTATCGATACTTGAGGATCGATCCGCCCATCCCTAGTGTGAACTGCTCCGTCTCATGCAGCCTCAGGGAGAGGGATTCTCCGGCGTTCCGCAACAACACTTAGCTGCCCGCAGATGCGCCTGCCTATAAATCATAGACTGTAAAAAATGATGGACGACGCGTCTCCTATTCCTTCCACTATAGAAAAGTGAAGCCAAAGCATCTCAGTATGGCCGCTGCCATCTTGAGTAAATGATGTCATTTGGAGCCAGAATCTGCACAGTAGTGTCGTGAGGTGGAGCCGCGGTATCAAACTCCCGCAGACCCAATCAACCAGAACGACACGCCCTGCTTTTATAGCATCAAATTACTAGCTAAAATCAAACTTATCTCAAAAACGAACAATTTAACATATATCAGCGTGTTAACAACTACCTTAAATGACCAAAACCATCTTTCAGAAAATTGTTTTGGAAGTGTAATTCATTTTTTAATAGTTAGTCCCATTCGTTTACATGGAGAAAGCGGGGTTTATGACCTGTACTTCAGCCAGCCACCAGGGGGCGATCAAAGAGCCCGCAGCTTCACTTTTCAGGACGTGTGAGGCACACCCACTATAAATCGGCCTAATTTGCAGCACAATTGGCCGATGCCGATTAATTAAAAATGCCAAAAATCGGGCGATTAATCGGTCGACCTCTATTGAGCTTTGCCATTACAAGAATAAATTGTATGTAGAATATATTGAAATCAAAAACTGTTAATTAAATTGTAATAATACTTCACAATATTACTGTTTTTTTTAGGGCTGGGTTTTGACACAAATTTCACAATTCGATTCTCATTCACAAGCTTTCGATTCGATTACCGATTCGATTCAATATTGATTATTTTGAAAACGTATCAGGTACTGTTAGTACATGCCAAATTTTCTCAAGGAAAAAAA